GAGAGTGATTTCACACTTGAAAACGATTAAAAAAACTTAATTTTAAACTAGAAATGTGTGGGACGAATTTTGCAGGATTTGTGGGACGGTTGAAACAATGAAATGGTGGAGATAGTACGTAAGCTAGTGAAAGAGATTTAGAGTTGATGGACTGGCTAAGCTTAAATCTCATTAAATTTTAGAAAGTTTATGCGCGAACGTCTTCAAATGACCACTACAAAAAAACATGGCAATTCGGACAGTCAAAACGCTTGGAAAGCCGTGTGAAATAGTCATTTATGTTTTTTCCCACATTGGATCTAAATCAGAGAGGTTTGTCTCGTTGAGTGTTTAGGATTGATTGGTGTCCAATTAGGTTGTCTAAATCATAAACCAGAAAGAAAGAAAAAAATGTGGAATAGTGGTTTCTCTTTTTTACTTCCACACTTTGTCTCCAAAATCCAATTTGGTTTCTCTTTAATTTTTCCCCCAAAGATTCCGAAACCAAAAGACAAACCATCTTCCTAACTTAGTACTAGACCTCCCCCCCCCCCTCTCTCCCCACCCACACTATATATTTCATTTCTCACATTATGCCTTATATTCATCCTCAAAACACACACACATAAATAATCCATAACAACACCAAGATCAAAGGTAAGTAGAAGGAGACCACAAGTTATAAAAGCTATGCCGATCCGATCTAGTCCTTTCTTCTTCAATATGGAGAGCTCGGCTGTGCTCTCGCTCTTGCGGCACACCACGGGTAATTCCACGGATTCTAAACATTCCAAGAAATCATCAGGAAGCATCGGTGGTGGGGTACTAAAAATGTTCAAGCTCTTACCAATGCTATCATCTGGTTGCAAGATGGTAAACTTGTTAAGTCGAGGGCATCGAAAACCTTTACTTAAAGACTTTGCAACCACGGGAACGATATTCGGGTTCCGCAAAGGAAGAGTCTTTCTTGCAATACAAGAAGACCCTCATTGCCTACCAACTTTCATCATCGAGCTTCCAATGCTGACCTCTGCGCTCCAGAAGGAGATGGCCTCAGAGACCGTGAGGATCGCGCTAGAGAGCGAGACAAAGACCTCGAGGAAGAAGGTTTTGGAGGAGTACGTGTGGGGAATTTACTGTAACGGACGGAAAATCGGGTATTCGATAAGGAGAAAGAACATGAGTGAGGAAGAAATGTATGTGATTGATGCATTGAGAGGTGTTTCAATGGGGGCTGGTGTTTTACCATGCAAGAACCAACATGATCAAGAGGCAGAAGGAGAAATGACTTACATGAGAGCTCGATTCGACCGAGTGATTGGTTCTAAGGACTCTGAAGCATTGTATATGATCAACCCGGAAGGTAGTGGTCAGGGAACAGAGCTTAGTATCTTCTTTCTTAGGTCTCATTAACTTGTGTTACACTTTTTCCTTTACATGTCCTTTTTTTACTCTGCTTTTGAATCTAATTAAATGGTGATCAAAAATATTTGTTAGAATTATAATGATGATATTTCAAAAAGGAGCTATACAAACTTTTTAATTTCTATCTTTATTTATGTAACTATCTCTGCACATCTGGCTTCTCTACACAACTTTTTTAACCTCAGAAAGAACAAATATTACTCAATTTCAACCTTTTTTGAAAGAGGGAGTATGAATAACAAAACCCCTTCAAAAAAATCCCATTTTCAGATGGAAAAAAGGTATCTAAAAGTGAAGTCATAAGGGATAATATGGAGAAGAGAAGAGGAAGGTGACTGAGACATCCCTTGTTGAAGACAACTGAGAGCATCTTTTCCTAACTCAGTAGGTAACTGAAGGCAAATCCAATCAAGCAATGATTCAATGTCCTTTGCAAAGTCATGGCAGTACCAATCCATCAGTTTCGGTATCCCCATTTTCGCCATCGATATCCCAACCGATGCTTCCAAGTACTCTCTTTTCGCCGTCTCTAGTTCCTCCTCCACTTTACCCGCAGTGTACACTCGTACCTTCATAAAGGTTTCAACAAACACTTATTTAGTTTTGGAACCAAGACCATTTACATGAGAGAGTAAGACCTCAAATATTGTTTCAAACTTAAATTTCTATCTTTGCATTTTGTGTTTATATGTGAAAACAGAATCAAATGCAAGAAATAATCAAAGATGATATATAAACATCTACTTACAGTTGGTGAGGACCAGCTTCCACATGAGAGAGCAAATGTTACAAGTGGCTCTGACAGTTCCAAACCGAATTTACTCCTCGCAACCATTTCATTTTTCTTTGTACCTTTCGGAGAAATCTGGTAGATCAAGAAAGAAATGTTAAAAGTAAAAGATCACTGATAAAATTGATAATGAAAAGTCTAGAGAAAGGAAACGGACCAGCGAACAAAAAACTTACATATTTTGAGTTATACGGTGGTATTCGGAGTATGAAGTGTTGGATAGTGATTGCGTTAAGAAAGTATCCTCCCACATTCATAGCAGCCTGCAAGCACATCTCAATAGATAAGACAGATTGTTTAGGACTGACGTTCAATTTTCATAAGAAAATTTTCAAATTTGGAGTTACCTTTTGCATTAGTGTTACCACCATCTCAGGGCTCTCTGGTATTCCATGTTCAAGGAAACCCTATTGTTCCAATGTAATACTAGTTATCGAGTTTGTTTTCGACGATGAAGTCAAGACAGGAACAGATATATGTATATAATTTGCTTACATTCATCATGCAGCTGTTATAAATGTTTATCCAGAAAGCTAACTTCTCTTGCTGATTAAGTTTCTGTAAGTTGACTGAAGAGAGTCTTCCAAGTATACATCTGAAAGTTTAAAGAAAAACAAATGAGGACTATGAAGCAACTCAAGCAAGTTTCATTTTGGAAGTAGGATTTGTATCGAACGAGGCTTACTTCAGTTGACGGATGAGAAACACCGAGGAACTTGATTTTCTGTTTCTGTTTACTGAAGCTGCATCAACATCAGTGAACTTCTTGTATGGACCAATATCTCTTCTTCTAAAGCTCGAGCAAATTCCGTAAGGATCCTTGAATGTTGTATCTTTATCGATGATTTCTTGAGATTTTGTATCCTTCTGGCTCTTTACTGAGCTCATCCGCATGAAAATGTTAGACAAACATTTAACTAAATCCTCGGAAATTCTATTTGGATCACAGTTTTCATCAACGCCACCATAAGACCTTCGCTCTGCATTTTTTCCGCGACGCGTAGGACTTTCGTGCTGCATAAATATAAGTATAAACTTAAAAGATTTCAATAACAACAATGGAAGAAAGACAAATAAAAGGATGGAAAAATATTATGCTTTATGTACCTGTAGTTTCTGAGTTTCTAAACTCTTATTAAGTGGTGTATGAACAATAGGCATTTTCTTCACGGGCATTTTGATCGTAGAGTTAGCACTCAACTTGTTCTCTTTACCCTTCCAACTCTCTAAAAAGTGAACACTAGCATCATGTATCAGTCTAAATCACATTATGCTCTTTAACAAATTTCCTAACTTAGAGACTAAGAACCGTAAAATCTCACCTGAAGCAGATAGCGGTTCTCGCAGAAGAAGCGATTCAGATTCCTTAGCATTACTTGAAACTGACTTGGCTTTTCCCACCACCATATGACTTGAGTTTGTTTTCAATGAGGATGTAAAAGAAGCTTCTTGATACAATTCTTTCCTGCAATGCACAATATGTTCTTCTAACCGAACAGTTTCCTCTTCCAGAACAGCCACTTCCGCAAGTAGCTCCAAAATCTACAAGAACAAAAAAAACCAAATCACAATTTTATACAAGATTTTCAGGGAAAAACGAAGTGCTATTTCTTTAGTTACTAACCGGTGGAGGAAGAAACGGAGGAAGACGAGGAAGTGTTCCAAGAGGTCTATTAAAGGCTCTTTCCATTGCTCGGTGAATGTTCTCTTCAAGCCTAAGCTGCTTCTTCAGCTTTTCAACCTTTAAACAATAACAAGATCAACTCTTTAAATAACACTCTACAAAATGTATAGCTCCAACCTTAAAAAACAAAAACAAAAATTCCGAAAAACGGTTACATGTCGTTGCAGAGCAATTCTCTTCTCTTGATTCAACGCCTTTCGGTTTACAACACCATTTTCACCACCTTTCAATTTCTTTCCCTGCATCAATCATCTCATTTACAGATCAGCATCATCACACTAGTGAATATTTAATAATCTCTAGATATCAAACAATCTCACAAACCAAAATAATTCATTTCAGGGCCTTTTCAAGATCACAAAGAAAACAAAATCTTGATCACAGTCTCAACAATTGAATAACAACACCAAGAGTAAAAGATCATCAATCTCTGAATATTCAATAACAAGAATTCCTCACTCACAGTTTTGGTATGTGGAGATTTTCCATTTCTGGTATA